CAGAGGACCTCCTTATGGGCTCACTCCTTAGCCAGGTTAAGGTAACCATCAGCAGGTCATGGAGGGGGTTGTATTGCCTGACTGCCTGCCCCTCTTCCGCGGCTAAATCTGTGCCCACGTGTCTTTGAAAGCATGGGATGTTAGCCAGCACCCTTGAAACCTTTAGAGTGAAGTGGACACTGCAGTGTCTGGAATGCATTATCTCCCCCTCCGATACTATTTTGACTTCATTTCCTCCCTTGTTTCCCCCCCATTTTTGTTTTGTTTTGTTTTTTTCTTATCGTCTCACTGCCCCAGGTGGACTGTGTTAATTAATTGTAACTTATTTAGTCTATTAATAGTGATGTGGCAGGTCTTCAAAAAGATGAGAGTTGCATTCTTGGGGGCTTGTGGTGCAGTGGTGATGTTCCTCCTTCTGGGACAAAAGGTCTGGGCCAAGTCCCACCTGCTCCAAAGGTGTGTCAAAACCTATTTGAACTGGCTGATTAAAAAGCATCTAATGTTTCTTCAGTGCAGTGGTTTAACTGACAGATGTTCTGAGTCATTGGCTTCTGAAATAGGAGAAAGAAAGAATAGTTTGCACCATTGAATAAGAGAGCTGACAGCTACAATTAAAAGCAACGTCATCTGGGGCACTTAAATTTTGTCAGTGTCAATCTTATTCTTTAATAGATACAGTTTTCTAGATTAATAACTTAATTGCTGTAATATCACATGAATATTTAACCACGTTGCTGTGTAGAATATCTTGCATAACAGATATGTACTCCATTTAGCGCATCCGTTGTAAAATGTGGATTCCACAGGCATCCAGGAAAATAAAAGCTGACTTCAGGGACTAAAGTGCTTGCAAAGTTTGAAAGTCTTGAGCCAAATACAGAAATCAAGATAATGTTACACAGCTTTTGAACTAATTACATGTTTTATGTTAACTTTGGTTGTTTGGATTCTAGAGGGTTGCATTATAATATCTGACCTTTACTTTTCTTGCACAGATTATCTATTCAGTTTTGCAACTGCTGCTACCAAAAAGATATCTGAATCCATGGTTGAAACTGCGCAGACTATTAAAAAGTCTGTAGAAGAAGGCAATATTGATGGCGTGATTGATAAGGTGTGTATGTTTCCACAGAAAACTATTGCATTACAAACATTATAAATGTAATATACTGAAGCTACGATGATATGTTGTAGCCATGGTAAATGGAAGGAGAGGCGCAAGAATTAATGTGCCCACAATGTCCAACAATTCTTAGAGGCATGAAGGTCAAGTTTTTACTTTGGACACAATTGGAAAATTGAAGGATAATGGTAAAATGCTTTTGCATAACGACATGGAAAATATTCCATGAACCAGCATAATTTGATGGAGTTATAGGAGATAATTGTTTCTTTACATTAACGTTTAAATAAGAGTGTTTTTAATTTCATTTTTTCAATGCTGCAGAAGTTGGAGTTATAGCAAAAAGGATATTTTTACATGTGTTGACTCCTCCAAGTGAGCAATCAGATTTTAAATTGCTGAAAGAAACTTTTTTATTATGAAAGCTTTGAATCATTTACTAATGTCAACACCAGAATCCTTACTTTTTCGTTATTTTGATCTGGAGGCATGGCCAGTTTTCTGGGTGGGATGGAATCGTATTTCAGGATGTTTGTTCATGCTGATGCGCAGTTCGTAATCATCAGTGCATGTGCACAATATTAAGCTGATTTTTCAAACTTAAAAAGAAAAGCTCTACTGTTCCATTTTGTTTAATAATTTATTTCTCTTGCATGATATACTATTTCATTAAAATTGACCATCAAATTAAGTGGTTAATTGTTATTTTGAGAGAGAGATCACTGCTATTGCACATGTTCCTTGGTATCAACAAACAGTCAATGCTTATATTAGCGTTATAGATTATGGTAACTGATTTATATTTGTATTTTCTTGACCTTTTCAATGGTCTAGCCAATAGTTAGCAGAAACTTCATAACATTTTTCCAAATAACAAATGTACTTTCCTGTGAACATCTGGATAATTTGTTAAAATGGTACAAGTGCTGGATTAAAATTGAACATTGAAATTAACATAAAAATATATGAAAGAATAAAAGTTGTATTGGACACTGGTTTCCTGGCTGTTGCTGAATCTATATTCAAACATATGATTATAGCTGAATCTTCACTGAGTTTATGATATGGGTAATCTCAATTGTTGCTTTTCAATCAGTCTGTGGTACCTAATATTGATTTAAGCTAGTTCCTCAAGGTCAATTATTATCACTTTAGAAAATAAAAATATCAGTATTTGAAAAGTTATTTGTATTTGGGCAGGTAGTTTTGCAGCATATGAGTTGTTTTCTGCCTGTGAAAGTACACTTCTGTGGTCAGGGAATGAACTTTACGTCAGCTTTTGATAAGTGTCCTCAAGTCCCAAATTTGTCCCTAAGTAGCATGGGAGTAAGCAAATTCTGTTTCCACATTTTAGACCATTATTGGCGATTTCAAAAAAGAACAAGACAAGTTTGTACAAGAAAAGCTGACAAAGAAAGCAGGTACTATCTATTTATTATAGTACAGATTCTTTTTGTGTATTTGAGTGTATACTTTTGAATGCTTGTGTTACCTAATATGGTCCATTCTCTATGGTCTTTCCAAAATCCAAGTTTGTGTGATGGATGTTATTATTTGATAAGTTGATCAATGTCAACTTTACATTCTTGGGTTTTACATAGAGGGAAAAATCAATATGTGCTAAAATTAAACTTATTTTCATTGTCTGTTGCTTTTCTGCAGTCAGATCATATTATACGTTATGTACTTTTTGTAGTTATATTAATTATCTATGATATTTACTGCTACGTTGCATTTACAATTAGCCATACGGACAGGGTTTCCAACACAAATGAAAATTAGATTCCATTTCATACCAGGATGAAAAGCCTATATAAAATATTGGCATTAAAATAAAACTGAATTGTAAAAGTAGAAACAAGTTTTAACACATACCAGCAGATCGTCCTGTTAACAATAGGTTTGAGGTCATGCTATTTTGTAAACAATAGGGGTGTTAGCCATTTAACACAAAGCATGAGACCATGTATACTGATTTATGATTATTAAATCGGACATTTGTTTACATAATATTATACTTCTGTGTTAGTTTGGGGACCAGATTATACGAGATTTTATGTAAGGTGTAATAGTTGGAGATAGATATCCAGTATGTAGTTGCATTTCAGTTGTAGGGGAGGAGGAGAAATGGTTATACACTTTGGTAGTGCTCGTGCCGGGAAAGGGAGTAGTTGGTCCTGCAGTTTGGTAACACTGTTCTACATTGTTTGTATTGTACAATGCTAAGTTGTACTCCAGTGCAGCCTAAAATGCTTACACTTTGCAAACTAAAATGTTATTGAGAGTGGAATGTACAACATTAACTCCACATCAGTATCTTGGGACTGGGGTGGTATACTTTTTATTAAAGGATAAAAGTTTTCTTTGTAAACCATTTTTTTTTTCAGATGCAGCAGTACCTCCTTGGGTTGGATATAGTGAAGAAGAAACTATTCAGCAACAAATCTTAGCTTTATCAGCAGTATGTCTGCTTTTCTATTTAATATTTTAAACTGATTTTATTTTGGTATTGTGCAAAAGTTTGGCAGTGACTGGAACTAAAGTATCATTTAAAGATTAAGCTTTAATGTTAAAATATGAGAATGACAAACTCCCAGCCTAAAATTTGTATCCAAATGGCCCAGACTTACCTAGTAATGGTGAGATCAGTGATCTACCATAAATCACAACATCTAGCGTCAAGTTTGCACTGTTAATTTGCTCCAAATGTTGCTGCTTTTGTTGCAGTCATCATAGTGATAGCCAAACACTCACTTCTGACATAAAAACAAACATAATAGCATGTTCATCGACTAGAGCCGTGGCATTAAGTGATTTAAGCCATAGCTTGCCGGTCGCATACTCTCCTTGAAGTGATAAAGTTGTAAGTTCATGTAAAATAAGGGATATGATTGAATTGCAACATTGACAATGAAATACAGGCTGTCCCTCCCTGAGGACTTACATGTCCATAGGACAGTGAGCCCATGAACTGATGAAGGAAATTGGAAAAATAATTTTTTTGGCTTTTAATTTTGTTAGGCCGCTGGGTGTTTTGTATATTTCAGAACACGTTGCCACTTTACAATCCCTAGATGGTAAGAGGCAAGAATCTTTCAACCTGCGATTTCATTCCTTACATAAAATGACCACTCCCTTCCTGCAACTTTGCTTTATGCTTCTTTGTCCTTTCATGTTTTTGTTGCTAGATTCCTGATGAGCATCCAAAATGTAAAATGAATTCTGTATTCTTATCAAACATAGGAAAATGAATATGAATTGTTTCTGTCCATTCTGAAACCAGCAGCAAGGATTTTATTTAACTTGTTTCACAGTTTTATGTTTCGGGTATAGCAACCATAGAATTGTATAGTATAGAAGAGGCCCTTCAGCCCATCAAAACTACCCTAAATTTACACTAGTCCCACATGCCCGCATTTTGCCAGTAGCCTTGAATGTGATGACATTTCCAGTGCTCATCCAACTAACATCTTAAAAAAAAAAAAGTTGAGGTTTCCCCTCTCAACTACCCTCCCAAGCAGTCCATTCCAGATTCTCACCACCCTCTGGGTGAAAATTGGTTTCCAAAAATCCCTCAATCTCTTGCCTTTCACCTTAAAATTTGCCCACTTATTATTGACTCTTCAGGTAAAGGGAATCGCTGCTTGCTATTCACTCTGTTCATGCCGGTCATAATCTTACATATCTAATTAGGTCGCCTCGCAGCCTTTTCTTTTTAAAAGAAAGCAAACTGAGCTTATCCAGTTTCTATTCACATAAGTAGAGGGCTGTTTTTCAAACTGGAGGCCTGTGCTGCACGGATTGGTGCTGGGCCAAATGCTTTTTGTCATTTATATAAATGATTTGGTTAAGATTGGTTGGCTCGCCGAGCTGGTTTGTTGTTTTGTAAACGTTTCGTTACCATGCTTGGTAACACCCTCGGTGCAGCCTCCAATGAAGCGTCGGTGTGTTTTCTCGCCTGGTTTTTAAACTCTGGGGTCCATTGAGATGGATTGCCTCCCCTCTGGTTTTCCTTTGTAGTGGAATGTATATGGGGTCGAGTTCAATGTGTTTATTAATAGCATGCTTCGTAGAGTGCCATGCTTCCAGGAATTCTCGTGCTTGTCTCTGCCTAGCCTGTCCCAGGATCTTGGTGTTGTCCCAGTCGAAGTCGTGGTTCTCCTTGTCCATGTGGATTGAGATGAGTGAGTATTGGTCGTGTCTTTTTATAGCCAGTTGGTGTTCATGTACTCTTGTTAGTTTCCTTCCTGTTTGTCCGATGTAGTGTTTCTCACAATCTCTGCAGGGGATTTTGTAGATGACATTGGTCCTGTCCGTGGCAGGGAGTGGGTCTTTAGTTTGAGTGAGCAGTTGTCGTAGGGTTGACATGGGCTTGTGTGCCACTCTGATGCCCAGCAGTCATAGGAGTCTTGTGGTGAGTTCCGACGTGTTCCTGATGTAGGGTAGTGCGATGAGTGTGTCAGGGCCTGTAGAATCCTTTCTGATGCTGTTCTTGTAGGCATCTTCTGACCCAGTTCTTTGGATATCCATTATCCTTGAACACTTGGAAGTGGTATTCTCCTTCCTCTTGGCGTAGTTCCGTGTTGCTGCAGTGTGTTGTTGCCCTTTTAAATAGTGTTCGCACGCAGTTTCATTTGTGTGTGCTGGGATGGTTCAGTACCTGGTCTGTGTGTGTGGCTTTATGGTGTACTTTCGTTTGCAGTTCCCCATTTGTCTTGCGCTCTACCTGACGTGCAGGAATGGGAGCTGTTTGTTGTTCTTCTCTCTGGTGCATCTTATTCTGCTGAGGGTGTTGTTTATAAGTTTGTGTGTCTCTTCTAATTTGGTCCGTTTAATGATGACAAAAGTGTTGTCTACGTAGCGTATCCACAATTTAGGTTGGATTTGCGAAAGGGCCGTCCTTTCCAGTCTTTGCGTCACTGCTTCTGCTATGAGTCCGGAGATAGGTGATCCCATGGGTGTCCCGTTGATTTGCTGATATGTTTGGCCGTTGAAGGTGAAGTGGGTGGTCAGGCATAGCTCCAATAGTTTGAGCATGTTGTCATTGGAGATGGTTTCACTGGGGTCGTGTTCTTGCTCAAGTAGTGTTGTCATTGTTTCCCTAGCTAGTGGTATGTCTATTGATGTGAATAGGGCAGTGACATCAAACGATATCATGGTCCCTTCATCCTCTATCTTTATGTCTTTGGAGTTGAGGAATTCTTGGGCTGAGTGGATAGAGTGGGGTGACTTGTTGACTAGGTGCCTGAATCATCTTTGTAATTCTTTGGCTAATCTGTGCGATGGAGTGCCTGGTAGGGAGACTATGGATCTGAGGGGGACTTCCAGCTTGTGCACTTTAGGGAGGCCGTAGAATCGGGGTGCGTTGGTTCCTTCTGGTTTCATTTTTAAGAAGCATGTTTAGTTGATCTGTCCTGTTTGTTTAAGTCTTTGTAGCGTGTAGAGGATTTTGTTGCCTAGTTGTGGTGTCGGGTCAGTCTGTACTGGCCGGTATGTGTTCTCGTCGGCGAGCAGTGCTTGTGCCTTGGAGATGTAGTCCCTTTTATTCATTATCACTGTCATGCGCCCTTTGTCTGCAGGTAGCATTGTGATGTTCTTGTCTTTCTTTAATCTGTCCAGGGCTTGTCTTTCCCGGGTGTTGACTTCACTCCTTCTGGTTAGTGTCAGGACCACTGTCTGTCTTATGGTTTGTTGTGTTGCTTCGTTGATATTGTTGGTCTTGCGTGTGGCTTCCAGTGTAGCTAGGAATTCCGTTTTGTTGGCGTCCCTGTAGTTGTAGTTCAGTCCTCAGGTGAGAACGGCTTTTTCCATGTCTGTCAGTTTCCTGTTGTTGAGGTTTCTTATCCACTAATACACTCATGGACAAGGAGAACCACCACTTCGACTGGGACAGGCTAGGCAGAGACAAGCACCAGAATTCCTGGAAGCATGGCACTCCACGAAGCATGCTATTAATAAACACATTGAACTCGACCCCATATACATTCCACTACGAAGGAAAACCAGAAGTGACGCAATCCATCTCAACGGTCCCCAGAGTTTAAAAACCAGGCAAGAAAACACACCGATGCTTCATCGGAGGGTGCACTGAGGATGTTACCAAGCATGGTAACGAAATATCTGCAAAACAACAAACCAGCTCAGCGAGCCAACCAATCTCAACACCCACAACCTGAGCTACAGATCTACTCCAAAACCTTATAAATGATTTGGATGTGAATATAGGAGGAATAGGCAAGTCTGTGGGTGACACGAAAATTGGTGGTATAGTGGACAGTGAAGAAGGTTATCTCCGATCACACTGGGATCTTGATTAGATGGGCTCTTGGGCTGAGGCATTGTAGATGGAGTTTACTTTAGATAATTGTGAGGTGTTGCATTTTGGTAAGGCAAACGAGGCGGGACTTATACAATTAATACTTTGGCCCTTGGGAGTGTCACCGAACAAAGAGACCCAGGGATGCAGGTGCTCAGTTCCTTGAAAGTGGAGTCACAGGTAGACAGGGTGGTGAAGAAGGCATTTGGCACGCTTGCTTTCATTGGTCACTGTATTAAGTGTAGGAGTTGGAATGTCATGTTGCGGCTGTATAAGACTTTGGTGAGGCCACTTTTAGAATATTGCATTCAATTCTGGTCATCCTGCTATAGGAAATATGTTAAACTTGTAAGGGTTCAGAAAAGATTTGGAAGGATGTTGCTGGGATTGGAGGGTTTCAGCTAAAGGGAGAGGCTGAATAGGCTGGGGCTTTTTTCACTGGAGAGTCAGAGGTTGAGAGGTGACCTTGTAGAATCATGAGGGGCATAGATAGGGTGAATAGCCAAGGTCTTTTTCCCAGGGTAGGGGACTCCACACGTAGAGGTCATAGGTTTAAGCTGAGAGGGAAAAGTTTTAAAAGGGACCTGAGGGGCAACTTTTTCACACAGAGGGTGGTGCATGTATGGAACAATCTGCCAGATGTGGATACAATGACATTTAAAAGGCATCTGGTTGGGTACATGAATAAGAAGGGGTTAGAGGGATATGGGCCAAATGCTGGCAAATGGGACCATTTCAATGTAGGATATCTGGTCAGCATGGACGAGTTGGACCAAAAGGTTGTTTCCATGCTGTATGACTCTTTGTCTAAAATTCTCTATCCTACAGAACATCCTGGTGAAGCTCTACTGCATCTCTTCCAGTGCTATCACATCCTCCTTGTGGTGTGGTCACCAGAATTGCACACAATACTCCAGCTGTGGTCTAACCAAATTTTTGTACAGGTCTAACATAATCTCCCTGCTCTTTTATAATCTGTGCTGCAACTTATAAAAGCACGAGTCCCATATGCTGCCTTTACCACCCTATTAACCTGTCCCACTGCCTACAGGTATCTGTCGACAAGCGTCCCAAAATTCCTCTGTTCCTCTGAGCTTCTTAGTGTTCATTGACTACTCACTTTGAAAGTAGTAACCTCAAGTTTTTCAGGGTTAAATTCCATCTGCCACTGATCTGCCCATCAGACCAATCCATTTATATTCTCCTGTGACCTGATACCGTCTTCCTCACTGTCAACTACCTGATCAATCTTTGTGGCATCGGCAAACATACTTATTATCCTCCACCTCCTGGAGTTTCTTCTGTATCATTTATATGTATCACCAACATAAGGGACTCAGCACTGATCCCTGTGGTACTTTACTGGACACCACCAGTCACATGAACAACCTTCTACCACAATCCTCTATCTCCTACCACTAAGCAAGCTAATTTTGAATCCAACTTACCATGTTATCCTGGATCCTACATGTTTTTACCTCTTTATCAGTTTCCCATGTGGGACCTTATCAAACCTTTGCTGAAATCCACATAAACTTCATCAATTGCACCACCCTTCACCTAGTCACTAGCTCTCAAAATTCAATTAAATTTGTTAGGCATGACTTCCCTCTGATAAAGCCGTGCTGACTATCCATGATCAAACCTTGTCTCTCCAAGTGAAGATTTAATTTATGCTTCAAAATTTTCTCCAGTAGCTACCCTAAAACTGATGTGAGATTCAGTGTCTATATCTGGTTTAGCTCCACCACCGTTCTTGAAAAGTAGGACCACATTAGCTTTCGTCTAGTCCTCTGGCCAAAGAGGGATTAAAAATTTGGGTCAGAGCCCCTATAACTTCCTTCCTCATTTCCCAGCAGCATCGAACACAACACATCCAGACCTAGGGATTTTAAAGCTCATCGAATCCAATACCACCTCACTCTATCAGCTGAAGAACTTCACAGTCCCTCTTTCCAGATTCTGTACCTACATTTTTCTTACTTCTATGTGAAGTACTCCTTTATCACCTGACCAGTGTTCTCCAGCTCCATCCTGTATGAATAGATACTGTCCTACTTAACATATATTCTACATCAATCAATGCTTTGTAAGTTCTGTCTGAAGTTAAACTGAAATTCTTTGTGCTTTCAGGAGAGGAGAAATTTTTTGCGAGATCCACCAGCAGGAGTCCAGTTTAATTTTGATTTTGATCAGATGTACCCTGTTGCTGTAGTCATGCTCCAGGAAGATGAACTTCTTAACAGAATGCGCTTTGATCTTGTTCCAAAGTTGTAAGTTATAAATTTCACAATTTTGTATGCTTTCAAAATTATTGGAATGGCAAATCAACTGATAAAAAATTTATTGAATTAACTTGTTCAGTTATATGTTAAATGAACGTGTTCCTTTGAATGTAACATGTTTACTGAAATGGAGCACTCAGCACTTTTCCCATCTATGTTGCTCCATTTTGTCTGTTGCATAGTTGCATAGAAGTGACTGGGTGTTTCCATTGCTACTGTTTAGATTTCCAAATAGAAAATGGCACACTGGCACTATTAGAAGTAAACAAATAAGGCCAATTCTATAGCAGTGTTGTATGTGATACAGCCAGGATGGCTGGACATGTGTTTCATCTAGGCTGTATGTAAAGAATGGAAAGCGTAGTCAAATCAGTACAGAAAGCAAGTGTATGAGTATCAAGACAGTTACAATAGAAACTTTGACCATGCCTCATCGGTTTAAACATTCAGACAGTGTAGAAGTATCTAGTTTGTTTGATATCTAAATGTATTTTTTAGAAGTCATTTAGACTCTAATTCTATTCTTTTCAATTAAATGTCTACTGTTCGTGCTTTTTAATTCCACAAAGCAATGTCTCAACATAGTAACAAAAATGTTCTTTGTGAACATTGCAGTTCGTTAATCAGATTGTGCTGAAATAATTTAATCGTACAAGAGACATTTCCAATTAGAGTAGAAACCCCTCAGCACTGCAACGAAGTGTCAACTGAGGTTATATACTAAAGTCTGCTACGCAAGTCTTGAGCGACCAATCTGTTGATTCAGAGGCAAGAATCCTACCCCTGAGGGTAGGTGACTTTTTAAAAGTATATTATAAGCAAAGTTCTGTGGATGCTGGAGATAAAAAAAAAGACAGAATGTGCTGCAAAAACTCAGTAGATCTAACAACTTGCGTGGAGAAAAACAGTTACCATTTTGAGTGCAACATGCAACACAATCACTGTCAGTATCAACTTCAATAAATTCGAACTCTGCTCCAGTGACTCGGGTGCTTAATCTAAGATGACAGTTCTGTATAATTTTAAAGTAGTACTGCATTGCTGGAGGTGCAAAGTTGTACTTCTTTCCTCCCCCCAACTTAAGATCAATTTATGCTTCAGTCGACATCACAAAAATAAACTATTTGCTTACTCACCTGATTGTGGTTAGTGGGATATTTCTATAGTACATTGGCTCCCGTAATTCTCTATTATAACTGTGACTACATATCAACAGTAGTTAATAGGCTGTGAAGCATTTTGAAAATGTTGCATAAAGGCAAGTTCTCTCTCCCCTGTCTTCCAATCCCAATGCTAATAAAGATTTTTTGATTCGCAGCCTTAAAGACTTTCTCAGTCATTACAAAGTAGGAGTAAGTGATTCCTTCCCACTCTGAACAGTTGTAGTTCCAGTTTTGGAACATTTTATGGAAACATTTGATAGAATTGCAGGAATGCCTCAATGTTTTGAGGAATTATGAAATGTGAAATTGCAATGTATTTTCATACTGAACAAAATAATTGTAATATTAATAAATTGAGCAAGGTGTTTCTCCACACAATCTATTTTTATTTCAAAATTCTTATGGTGTAATCAGATGGAGTTAGGGGTAAAAGATTCAGTTGTCCAGCTCAATTTTGACTCAATTCTGTGTATTGTATTCTACTCTTTACTATGCAATGTTTTGTTTACAGATACTAAATCTGTATAAAAATACATTAGCTCAATGAGTGTTGATCTCCTGTTCCCTGTCCAGTGTGAAGGAAGAAGTATTCTGGAGGAATTATTTCTACAGGGTGTCACTTATCAAACAATCAGCACAGCTTACTGCCCTAGCTGCTCAACAGCAAACAGTTGACCAAGAGGACAGAGAAGATAGCAGTCCAAATGATGTCCATTTAACAGGTAAACAATATGTTTGTGTAGAATCCAGCCAAACTGGTTACCTCTGCCACAGAAGGTGTCGATAACGCTTTTACTTTTGCTTAGTTTGCTTGCCTGTAAACAGTTTATCTCAAAATCTAATGGATGAATTTCAAGTAAGCTTGTTGCACAGATATAATATGGTCCAAGGAAGAACTGATTAGTTTTTAGAAAAATATGAATACAAATCCTTAAATTTTTTTTTAAAAGGATCCATTAGTCTTGGTAAATACTGCTAATTGTCTTTAGAATGTTTTAGGTTATGAAGAACGTTGTAGATTGTCTCAAATGCTGTGATGCAATTTGTCATATAGATATCGGCTGGCCCGAAGCTTTTCAGAGTTAAATGTTCTGAATGAAAAGCTTTCTGCTTTCTGTTTTCAGCTTTACAGTTAAAGAGCATCAACCAGATAGAGAGTCCCCAAAAAAAAGAGCTACCTAATTGTAATAATGATGAGTTAACAGCACAGCAGCGAGGTGCACTTTATGAATGCTCTCTTCTCTACTTGTAATAAGCTACTTTATCTGCAAACTGTTGAAATTTGCATATGTCGTTCTATTTTCTGGCTATGTTGACTTAATTTCCCCCAGTTGGTGGTCTTAACTGACAAATGAATAGTCTGAAGCTGGCTGCGAAGCATGCCAGTTGCGTCAACAGCATATGCTCTTCAGGTAGATTTTTCTTTGACTTGCATCACCTGGGTGCCTTTGTTCTACTTACCTGCTGGGATTTTAAAAATGGGTGGAGATACTCTGAGCACTTGACTTGAATTATTTAACGATGTTGTTAATGTGATAAAAATATGCTGGTGTGACAATATCAAGAATCAATCTATACTGTCACTTGGAGCTAATGGAACATTCTTGGATTTCACGTGAGTCAAATTATACATTTTAGTGCTGAAATCTAATCAAGTATCTCCTAATATAAACAACAGCTATACTTTTGTGGTTGAGATTGACTTAGCAGAAGTAATCTATCCATCGTTTGCAAACTGTTTACAAGATGACAGTGCAGCAGTATCCTCCATGGTATCACCTTTTAATTTCAGGCTTTGTCTGCACACACATTCTTAGCCAAGGATAAGAGAGTTATGTGCAAGATATTTCTGTACATTTAACACTGATGGTCTGTGGAAAGATAAACACTTTTAGATCTACAGTTATCAAGGATTGTTAATTGTTCTTAACCAGAATTTCATTTCTTTTCTACTTTTCAGAAACAACAAGGTCAAAAACACCACCTTTTCCTATCCAAACTCAGGCAAAATCATGTGAGGTAATTTTTGTTTTGACTGGCATACATTATTCTTAGATTAATATTTTAAGTTTTGCGTGATAATGTAAGATGTAACTTATCGCAAATTCTGATCTTTTTAGGAGGAAGAGGAAATTTCCACAAGTCCAGGTACCACAGAGTTTATTAGCGATGCATATGATGCAAGCAGTCTGAATCAAGAGGATCTGCGGAAAGAAATTGAGCAGTTGGTGTTGGATAAAAAAGAGGATGTTGCAAAAGAAGGTGGGAATAATAGTCACACTTCCAAGTGTTGCCTGAGGTTTATGCTTAAATATTCTATGTTTTATTTCTCTTCCTCAAAATTAGGACATTAAATGCGGCTTTATCTGAAATGCATACATTTTCTAGCACCTATAAATTCAGTGTTTAAATATACTGACTGCACCTCTGTACTAAAGAATTCATTAATCCTGAATATAACACTTTTTAAGTCATCATTCTATATTTTCTGACTATCTTATTACTAATTATTTTTAGTTACTAATTATTTTTACTATTTTAGTTATTACATTTTTAATTGCATTGCCACTCCCTTTGAGCTTAAGGCATTAATTAAACTTTAAACTCAAGATTTTGGTTTGTTTTTTTTTGGCGTACAGTTTTAGGTAGTGACTTCAGTTCAGTTCACTATACAACTGTTAATCAAATTTGATTCAATTTCAGTGGTATCTGTTTTAGTTTTAGCCAAAATTTGTGACCACGTAGAGGAAAATATTTAAATACGTGTTTTGACCACATTTTAGATTGATGCTTGTTGGATTGAAAAAGACAATGATCTCGAAGGAAATCAAGCAACTGTGCAGTGTACACCAGAAAATTTTATTCCTGATCAGTGCTGAGTTAGCTCATCTCAACTGACACATTACTGTGGTGGGTCTAAATGTCTCTTCTGTAGTAAAGAGACAATCAGCCAGTGTTCCCTTTCTGAATCTTATAGCACACTTTCAGAGCCTGTTGTGTGTGGACCACAGCTGCTCATGGTCATGACTAAACTTGAGAGTTGAGTGCACTTTCATATTAAACAAACTAAGTTGGCATGGCCCAAATCAGTTGCATCTAGTAAATGCTGATGAAAGCAAGCGTGAAGCGCCTTAGTTGAACTGACTCAACAAAGTAATGATTTTATTGTGTTCGAGCTAACTCTTTCTCCTATTTCTCTGTGTAGAATGTGAAATTTCAGTCCAACCAATTGGTCCCTTTGTCACATTTTCCAATATATACATGTTTTTACGTGTGCGTGTTAGCTTCTGCATTTCTTACATTACAACAGTGACTACACTTCTCAAAACACTGAAGCTAATGTGCACACATAAAAACATGTATATATTGGAAAATGTGATACAGGGACCAATTAGTTGGACTCAAATTTGACATTGTATACAGAGAAGTATGAGAAAGAGTTAGCTCAAGCACAATAAAATCATTACTGTGTTGAGTCAGTTCAACTTCACAAAACACATCGTTGGCTATCAAGCACTTTGGGACATCCTGGGCATTCCCTCTAATTTCTTTTTCTTCTGCATAAACCTCTGAGGTTTGTGCACAGCAGTGACATCCAGCACCAGAAGTCAATGCTGTAGTCCATGTTAGCACACCTATTACCAAGCACGGAATGTTGGAATGGCTGTGCAGCTTAGAGGGAACATTGCTATGGACATGTTACTTAAATGCAGTGCTTCTTTCACTCTTGTAAATACAAGGCATATTGTTAAAAAAGAATCTCTGTGGCAAAACTAAATAAAATGTCAACGTATGGCATGTCAGAAGTCAGCAATGAGTTCCTAAAGGCAACCACGTCATATGGGATGTCTGGCCTGTGTTTAGAATATATCAATACCAGATCACTGCAGTGCACAATTTTTTTGTCTTTGAGAATTTCTTGAGGGACAGTTTATTTTTATTTGTTTGTTTTTAGGTACTACTTTTACATTCTGACAGACTCATTCAAGAGTGAATTCACCTGTTGCTAGACCTTTATCATCACTCAATTCCAATAGCCAGCAGAAGAGCAGCACTGAATGGAGTCAGTCACCTAACTAACTGCAGGATGTGTCAGCCTTAGCAAGTCCTATATAGATGTATAGTTCATCCTCAAAACTACCCTGGGTTTTTTTTTTCCTCCCTTTGGCTGTATTTCCCTGCTTCAGCACTACCGGTCACCTTCTTAAAAAATATTGACTGATCACTGGAGTACATTTACAAAGATTATCACAGCTGAGCACAATCCTTTCCTTGTTTGATATTTTCACTGAGATCATTTCTGCAGTGATATGACATAGAAAACCTGGCCAGTTTCGCTATCGTCATAGTGAACAGATTTCTTTTTGAAATAAATATATTTGATGACTTATAAATGTTTTTGATGCAATAATCATGAATATTGAATGTTGCATAAATTTCAAAAAGATTTAAAGTGTCTGTTATCTGCTTGACAATTTCACATCTTAATAGGTTAGAATACAAAATATAGCCTCACATTATCAGTATATACGTCAAATCTATATTCTAAATTTCTCCCAGCAAAAAGCAAACTGAACCTTGAGATTGGATTGACAATGCAGTGAAACACTCAATTTGATTATGCTGTATCTGCAAATTCTTTCTCATTTAATGGATTATATGTGATTTTTATTTGCAAGTAATGCTTATTTGTATAGTATTACAACATTTTTTTTCAAACAAGATGTCTTCTACTAAAATACATGATCACACTGAGCCTACATTGAAGCCCAGAACTGGAAAGAATCATGTACAGACCAATTTCCTGAGATGACATGAAGAGAGACCGAATCGTTTAGGACTGTATTTGCTGGAGTTTGAAAGAATAAGGTCGGGGGTGGGGGGAGGGGGAGGTGGTGCGGGAGTCTTATAGAGTCCTATAAAAGTTTAACCAGGTTAGACAGAGTAAATTCAGGAAAGATGTTCCTGAAGAGCAGGGAGTTCAGAATGAGGGGTCACCATCTAAGCATATGGGGTAAACTATTTAGGACTGAGATGAGAAATTTCTTTACCCAGAAAGTGATGAGCTAATGGAATCCTCTGCCAAAGAAAGTGGTTAAAACCAAAACCTGGAATGTGTTCAAGAAGGAGTTGGACATAGTTGTTGGGACTAAGGATATCAAAGGGTATGGGAAGAAAGTAGGAATTGAGTTGAGTGATCAGCCAAGGCAATATTGAATGGTAGAGCAATTTTAAAGGGCCAAATGGCCTGTTTCTGCTCCTGTTTTCTACATTTGTGTATATAAATGTAAATGCATCATTTGGTCAAACGAAGGAAAGCAAAAATAAACCTGCTTAAACTTTCTCCAACAGCATCTGCTAACTGGGAAGATGAACTACAGCAAGAACTTCAAGATTATGAGGTGGTGGTTGAGGGAGAAAAAACAGATGAAAACTGGGATAAGGAAATTGAAGAATTGTTACAAGCGGATGGTTGAATTGAAGATTGTGCTGCACTCTATTACTTTCCCCAACACACAACCAGCATGACTGGCATGAACCTCATTCTCTTCACTCACTTTTGTCTGAGAAGATAAGTTTGTAGGAATAATTCTTGGAGAAAAAAAAGTGCCTTGCTGTATGTTTTCTCTGTAATCTGGAGTAATTTACTTCTTTTCGATCAAAGCAGGCGGACTAGCAAAGTTAGATTTCCAGTACCAAGATTTATATATTCTCCATTTATACCCACTAGTCATACAGGTGTACCAGTGATTAAGGATTTATATTTTCTCCATTTATACCTACAAATGGTCATGCAGGTGTGCCAGTGGTTTATAGTCGAACATGGAAAAATCTGCCTGGTGGAATTAAAATTCGGATGCAGGCCTTGGATTTCACGGTTTGGTTTTGAAACTTCATCGTGTAATAAAGTACTGAAGAAAGCTTTGCAAGCTAGTTATAGACAGAATTCAACTATACTAAATTATTTAGGATTTCCTAACATGAACTAGGTGAACATATACTTTAAAAGTTTAATGTGTAAAACATATAATCAGACTAGATTAAACATAATCCAGATTGTTTGCTAATTGTTTAATAATTCAGAACTAGACCTATTACGTGCTTCACATTGTTATGAGCACAAGAAACCAAAGTCTTTTATAAAAAAAAAGCATATATTGATAAACAATCATTCCATATTCCTTACATTTATCTCATAAATATTGTTAGTAATAGCCACCTGATTTTATTGGATTTTGCAGGATTAGTGTTTGAATAAGAAATAGCTTTTTAAAAATTCATAGACAATGAAAATTGTACAAATGTCTGTCATTTCATATTTGCCAAAAGCACTAATCACACCTAGCAGTCTGGCAATTTAGACATGTTTATAATTTTTCTTGGTTGTTTATATTTTTGTGAAACAAATTCAAGATTTCTGTATCAGTACTGATTCTGGATGCTGATTAAATGGTGAAAAGAAAAGTTTTTCATAAATCTATTTTCCCCAGTGCCACCCGGACCGAAATTTCATATGTTCATTACCCATAAACTCTCATCTGTTGCCCTGTTTTAAACTGACATTTATTGAACATCTTGAAGTTTATGCCTTGTAACGTTATGATTGGGAATAATAGCCTCCCATTTTAATCATAGGTGGCAAAGGTTCTATAAATTGTCAGGCTACATTTTTCCAGTAGTCACAAACTGTAACAGAATACAGGGGCCCTTGAAGCTGCTAAAATGATTGATATTTGCTTTGCTGCTAGGTCTGGATTGTGTATATCTCTCTTCATAACAATTGAGAGTTTGGGACATATCACTGAACTGCTGCTTTACTTTATCATGCCAGCTTGGAATACAATAAATGCTTAAGTACGTGATTAGTTTTCAAGTTGTATAAAGTTGTTCTTCCAGGCTAAATGTAACTTACAAATTTCTTGTATCATTTAAATATTAATAAATTAGACTTCCTTTAAATTAATTTGTTTACATTTCCTTGCAAATTCTTTTAAGTAGATTTATTTTAAACGTCAATCAATAATTCTAAATTGGCAGTGTTTCCCAACATATTGTTTAAAGATTAATGTAGACATGGCATTAATCACAGAATTGTTACAGTGCAGAAGGAAGCTATTTGGACCATTATGTTCACCAAATCTGTGAATGAGTATTAGGACTTGCTGCCATTCTCCTGCCTTTTCCCCATACATATTGATTCCGTTAAACAATCATCTAATGCTGTCTTGAATGTCATAATTGAATCTGCCTCCACCACATTTCTAGGCTGTTCCAGACCCTTAGCAAAAAATATTCCTTTTGAAAATTACCTTTTATTTGTACTCTCTCATTATTTATCTTTTTATGAAAGGAAGGATTTCCTCCCTATCTATTCTGCCCAGCTCCCTCACCATTTTTTTTCAAATTTGTCCAAAGAAAACAGTTCCCACTTATCAAATGATTCTTCATAACTGAAGTATCTCATCCCTAGAACCATTCTTGTAAAAGTTTTTCTGCGCTCTCTCTCCAATTCATTTGATATCCTTCCAAAAATGTGGTGCCCAGAACTCGTGTTTTATTTAGGTTCAGCAGAACCTCCCGACACTTAGACTTTATTAATAGCTGCTTAGAGTACAAGACACTATATGCTTTATTAACAGCTCACTCTACCTGCCCTGTCACCTTTAATGGCTTGTGCATATACGTACTCTGGTATTTTCTGCTCTTGCACACCCTTTCGGATATGGCCTTTTGGCCATTTATTTTTTGCTTTATCTCCATTTTATTTTCACTGAGATGTATCATCTCATGCTTCTGAACTTCATCTGCCATCTATGCATCTGCTCCTCCAACCTGTCTGTGGCCTGTCAGTTTTACAGTCTTCCTCACAAGTTTGTTTCCAAGTTTTGCATCATCTCTAAACTTAGAAATTGACCCAAGCACACCAAGATCTAGACAATTAAAATATATATCTGGAAAAGTACAGATCCTAAACTCAATCAGTGGGGATGTCCACTACAAACCTTCTACCAGCCTCTTTAGTATCCATGGTGCTACTGTCCCATTTATTTCATAAAATAAACTTATCTTATAAATTTGTCATGTGGCACTTCAAGTGCCTTCTGGAAAGTCCCTGTGCATGACATCAACAGTATTACCATCATCAACACTCTCTGTTACCTCCCTAAAGCGATGAGGAGGAACGCTGAGATGGACAATTTTATAATCCGCAAGCGAATTAAGGGTTACGGAAAAGGTGGCAAAGTGAGGTTGAGCATTTTTAGATCAGCCATGATTTCATTACATGGCAGAGGTGACACAACGTGCCAACTATCCTCTCCTCTATCCATCTTCTATCCGCCTCCCACTCTATCCCTATTTATTTCAGAACCCCCTTCCCCTCCCCCTTTTCTGATGAAGGGTCTAGGCCGGAAACGTCAGCCTCTCTGCTCCTATGATGCTGCTTGACCTGCTGTGTTCATCCAGCCCTGCACCTTGTTGTCTCGGATTCACCAGCATCTGCAGTTCCTACTATCTCTACTTCTACAGTTTATGGCTTTTCAAAAAAACTCCAAGCTATTTGAACATTCTTTTTCTTTGAGATCTGTGCTGGTTGCTCTTAATTGATTTCATGTGACTATCAATTCTATCTCAAATAACTTTCAAGAAATTTCTCCAGTTTCTTAAACTGGCTGATCTTTGTTTTTACCATATGCTATTTTCCAGTCCTCTGGTACCACCCGAATGGAAGGAAGGTTAAAAGATTATTATCAGCATCTCTGAAATTTCCACCATCACTTCCTTCAATATTCTTGGATGGGTTTCATCCAGTCTAGGTACCTTATTAACTTTTAAGTACCAACCACCCATCCAGTACCACCCTTTTATCAATTTTAAGTCCTCTTAGTAGCTATGTTTCTTCCTCTGTCACCAATGGCCTGGGAAGCATTTCCTTCATGATCAAAGACAGATGAAAAGTATTCATTTCACACGTAAAACATGTCCCCTCTCTCCATGTGCATATTCCTTTTTTTTCTGTCCCAAATCTGATACCTCATTTTACCACCTTTCTACTGTTTTCTTGTACCTATGGAACCCTTAGGAATACTTTTTGTTATAGAGTCATAGAGCCGTACAGCACAGAAACAGAGCCTTCAGTCCAACTTATCCATGCCGACCAGATATCCTAGATTAGTCTAGTCCCATTTGCCAGCATTTGGTCCATATCCTTCAATTCATACATCCATCCAGGTGCCTTTTAAATGTTGTAATCGTACCAGCCTCCTCCTCTTTCTCTGGCAGCTCATTCCATACATGCCCCACCCTCTGTGAAAAAGTTGCCCCTTAGGTCCCTTTTAAATCTTTTCCCTCTCACCTTAAACCTACTCCCTCTCTCCAGGGAAAAGACTTTTTGTCTATTTACCCTATCCATGCCCCTCATGATTTTATAAACATTTATAAGGTCACCCCTCAACCTCTGACACTCCAGGGAAAATAGCCACAGCCTATTCAGCCTCTCCCTATAGCTCAAACCCTTCAACCTTGACAACATCCTTGTAAATCTTTTCTGAACCCTTTCAAGGTAAGCAACATCCTTCCTATAGCAAAGAGACCAGAATTGAATGTCGTATTCCAAAAGTGGCCTAACCAAGGACCTGTACAGCTGCAATATGGCTTCCCACCTCCTATACTCAACGCACTGATCAATAAAGGCAAGCATACCAAATGCCACCTTCACTATCCTATCTACCTGCAACTCCACTTTCAAGGAACTATGAACCTGCACTCCAAGGTCTCTCTGTTCAGCAACACTCTGCAGGACCTTACCTTTAATTGTATAAATCATTCTGTGATTTGCCTTTACAAAATGCAGCACCTGACATTTATCTAAATTAAACCCCATCTGCCACTCCTCGTCCCATTGACCCATCTGATCAAGATTCCATTGTACTCTAAGGCAATCTTCCTCATTGTCCACTACGCCTCCAATTTTAGTGTCATGTGCAAACTTATGAACCATACCTCCTGTGTTCACATCCGAGTCATTATGTAAATGACGAAAAGCAGTGGACCCAGCACCGATCCCTGTGGCACACCGCTGGTCATAGGCCTCCAGTCTGAAAAGTAACCCTCCATCACTAACCTCTGTCTTCTACCTTTGAGCTAGTTCTGTATCCAAATGGTTAGTTCGATGTATTCTGTGTGATCTAACCTTGCTAAACAGTCTACCGTGAGGAACCTTGTCAAATGCCTTACTGAAGTCCGTGTGGATCACATCCACTGCTCTGCCGTCATCAATCCTCTTGGTTGCTTCTTAAAAAAAATTCAAATCAAATTATCTGCTTGTCTTTTTCTATAAGCCCTCTCTGGGACACTTATTTGCTTTTACAACTCCCTTCTAACCTGATATTCAGCCTAGTTCTCAAATGTATTTCGACTTGACACGTGTCATAGTACACTTTCTTTATGTTAATCTCTCTCACTTTTCATCCAGGGAACTCTTGGTTTGTTGTTCTGCCTTTCCTTTTTTAAAAGAATATACCTGGCCTGTACCAAATCATCTTGTTAACTATATGTTTTTCATGTCAACCCTCTTCCAGGCCCATTTCTGTTGTTGCCCATTGAAGTCAGCTCTCCCCTGGTTAATTATTCGTACTCTGTATTGTCTTTGTCCTTTTCCAACCATCACACTAAGCCTTATGATACGCTGATCACCTCCCCTAAATACTCCACTGTTGACACTAGCTCTATTTGGCATACCTTAATCCCAAGAACCAGGTCTAGCAGTGCCTCCTTTCCTATTGTGCTGGACATGTACTGCTGTTGGAAGTTCTAAACCATTTTAGCCTCGACCAATACTGCCACCCCCAATTCCTTTCTTTCCTTTCCTATCTTGTCTTGTAACCAGGAATATTTCACACCCAATTCTGCCCTTCCTTGAGCCAAGTCTCTATTTTAGCTACAACATTGTATCCACATGACAACCTGGACCCTGTAACACCCCAATCTTGTTGACTGTACTCAGTGCATTCACATGTGTGTAGTGTAACCCTGATTTAGACTACATTTCTTTCTTTTTTCCTGCAACTCCATCCATTTAACTCACTAATCTCAATTCTAATACTCACTGTCTTTGTGTATTGTGCACTCTGATATTATTCTCCGATGTACTCTCCGGGTTCTCTCACCAACACCAAGTTAGTTTAAACCTAACCCACTACCAAGTAAGTTTAAACCACTACCAACAGCACGAGTAAAATCTCCACAAAGAACTCAGTCCCAGTTTTGTTCAGATGCTGTCTCCCACCCACCTCCCATCACCCTGAGCTTGTACTAGGAATCTAAAGCCTTCCCTTTTGCACCATAATTCCAATCTACAACCATCTGTCTTATTGTCGTACTTTAGTATTCACTTGCATGGAAATTATTATTTTTGACATGGTACTTGCTAATTTTCTTTCAATTGCCTAATTCGTGAATGCGGGACTGCATCAGTATATGGACTATAACCTCTGGCAGTTCACCTTTTCTCTCCACTGCACCCACTCCTCCCATAGCCCCACCAAAGCTCTCAAAGAATAACTTGCACTGTCTCTATGATGTCCTTGAATTTGACCCTGGGAACAGGATTGCAATCCACCACCCCAAAATCAGGCCTCCAGCCACAACGAATAAATACCAGATCACTACTGCTTTCCTGCTGCTCGCTCTTCTCTCCAATAGAGCTGGGCTATCCATGGTACCACCACCTTGGTTCTTGCTGCACTCTCCTTAAGATTTATCACCACTTTCAGTATCCAGAACAGAAGATCAATTAGTGAGCAGGAACTTGTGCACCACCTGTCTGGGTCACTTTATCTGCCTGCATGTCTCTATCCTGTGATCACCTGCCTCTCTCTGCATATGCTGTCCACATAGTTCTCTGCCTTGCTGAATTACCACAGCAACTCCAGATGTTGGTCCAGCTGTAAAACCCAGACTCCC